TCTGGGACCTGCAGTCTCCATCGACCACGTTTCCTTACTCAAAACAATTTTAGCTGCAAGCTGTAGCGTCAACAGGGGTTTGTGTACTTTGTGGGAAGCTGGACCAAATATTGCACAGGGACGCTCGGTATTCTTCAGCCTGGAAATATTGTGCCAATCCAATTTTTTTAACTGACTCTTTGGGGAAGTAAATTACATTGGAAAATAAATAGTAAATTAAGCCAGCCAAGTCTAGGAGACTGCGATCTTCCAGAAATTTGCTTACTTTTTGGCTTTAAGTGTCCCAATATGAGTATAAGGACTAGCAACACTTATTTTAATAAAAGCTTGAACAGTGGAATATGGAGCTCTGGATATGTGGAACAGATGAGCCTTGAGTAGAAAGTTTGGTTGTGTGTATTTGACCAAATGTCAATGCTCTAGGGAGGCTGCATCTGGCTGAAAAGGTTTTGATCAAGTTGACTGACCAAAAAAAATCCTGTCTCATGAATATAACATTTTTCCTTAAAAACAAACAAAGCCAACAAAATGGTAACATTCTAGTGTAAATAGTGGAAGGCCAAAAAATATTCCTCAGTCTAATGAGTTCTTATACCATTCATCCACTCTTTCTAGCAGATGTGATATGGAAGGTGGCAGGGTTTATCTCAGCACTTTGGGGAGGAATATGATATGACTTCTCATGTCCCTTTGGCTTATGAGAAGAAAGCGGCAGGAGAGAAATATTTTGTTTGTGAATGTGCAGTCCCTAAGATTTCTTGTTTGTTGATATCTTGACTGGTTAATTTGTTTTTATTTGCTGTAGGTCTTCCAAACACATTTTTGTATATGCATTTCTTGCACACCTTTATATTTCAAGACAAAAATATTTGTAGTAAGGTGATAAAGTAGGATAACCAGATTTGTGATCAGAAACTGCTTTCATTTGGTGCTAGTGAGCTCACAGTGGTTTGCTCAGGTGGATGTACATTGCAAACAGTATTTTTATATCTGAGGAATAATTCAGACAAAGGAGAGTCAGGCTTCACTATGTTTAAAGGGAAGAAAAGTAAACATAAAATGCCTCTGAGCTGGCAGTATGTGTTGAAAATTAACAACTTCTCCCCGCCCATCCACAAATAAAAAGTAATTTTGTGAGCCATGAAACTTAAGAAGTTTATTTTTCTCTGGCTTGCCTTTATGTGGATTCCCTGTTGTCTGATGTTTTGGTTGAGCCTGCATTGCAAGCTGTCTCTCAGCATATGGACTTCTTGTCTGTCCATCTTCTGATGGACAGCCTGTTTATCACAAAACATGAGGAAACTTAATATCTCTTTGGCCTTTCTCCTTTTGTCTGGTTTGGCAGAAGTGTTTGATCTGTCCCTGAGTTATTGCAGGTAAGAGTCAGACTGAAAATAGTGTGATCACATCCTTTCCTTTCCTTAGGGAACAGACTGGGGAAAAAAAATCCTAGTGGTAGCACCATTGCTTCCCTCTCGGTGGCAGGGAAACACTTCACTTGGAGAAAATGGAGTATTTTTGCAGCAGTCTGCAACCGTTGGGTTTGTGCTCACTGGGAGGATTACAGTTTGGTAACCTGAAATCCTCCTCTGACAGAGCTGGAAGTATTTGTTAGTAATGCCTAGCTAGCATTTTGTCAGTGGACCTCAAGTGCTTTATAAGGAGAACAGTACCATAGTCCCCATTGTAAAAGTGAGCCTGAAGGAGATGCAGTGATGTGGCCAAGGTCATCCCAGAGGCCAGTGGCAGAGATAGGACTGGTCTTTGTATCCCCCCCCCAAGTCTCCTCCTCTGACAGTCTGCAGTCCACCAGCCACCAAAGCTTGCAGAGGACTTGAATCACATGAATAGATGTGTTATCTACAAAGTCACGCATATAGATACCAGTCACGCAGAAATAAGCTTTGGCCCCATTTTCATACTGAAGATTAAAGCAGCTCTGCACAAAGTGTATTTCAACTTTCTGTCTTAAAAATATGCTGCTAATTAGGGATGTAAAGGGGCTGAACTCAGCTGCAAGACTGCTGATCTTTCCTAGTGAGACATTGCCTGCCAGCATTGTTTGGATTCCAACTAACCCTTCATTGTCTTCTATCTCGTTGAGGTCCTGAGCATGCACAGAAAAAAAGGAGGATTGATGTCTTTATATTGTCATTTCTGGCTGTCTGCAGGATACCCTTCAGCCATTTTCAGCAGTGCTCAAAAGTATGCTCTGCTGGTTTTAATCTTGTTTTGCTTTTTGTTTTTGCTGGTGGCACTCTTCCATGCCCAGAGACTTTTTTAATTTTTACTTTTGTAGCTGTACAATTCCACCTTATTAAGTTGGATTCTGCTTCTAGTCTCACCCTTCACAGGGTTATCTTTTTTAATGGGTGAAAAAGTGCATATGCCAGCATTCCACACTAGGAGTTCTCGTATGTGATGTACATCAGGGAAGGAGTTGTGCTCTGCTTCAAATATCATATAGTCCTGACAAATGAGAGAAAAATTCTGCAGTCTTCAATCAGCTTTACTTGGATTGCTGTTCAGTTTAAGTACTACAGAATTTGAGTCACAGTCTTTAGCATGAAGGAGGTTGGATTTTTTCTTTTCTTTTCTTTTTTTTTTTTTTTTTTGCACTTTAGGATCCTCTGGGGGAAAAAAATAATATTTTACAGAACAGTATTTTAAATAATGGTTTAGAAAAGATATTGCCACACTGCTGACTCCAAGTAGCATTAGCTATTAAAAAGCATATTAAATCCATCTGAATAAAAATGTTGTAGAAAAGCAAAATACCCTATTTTAATACTGGATTTTGAAGAGTATTGCTTTTATCCATCTAGAGTTTTGCTAATAACCTAACTGCAAAAGATCAAGCTGCTTGCATGTGTTGGGCAATAATAAGCAACTTGAACCATTTTCCAGCAAAAATACTATAGGCCTTTGCTTGACTGCTGTGCAGTGGCTCTGGGGATTTCAGTGGGAGATACAGATCTCTGCAGTGCTTCTGTGTGCTTTTGCCAATCAAAGGCATTTACAGTATGTCAAAACAATCACTGATTACTGCTCTGCAGTTTTAATTCCCTCTTTTTGCAAAATAAAAGGACTTGTTCCTGTGGTTTCAATGCCCACATAAGCATCTCTGCATGCTGAAGTAAAGCTTCCTTGTCTGTACTCTGGACCTGATAGGTATTTTTGCACAATACCTTGGGGTTTTTTTGCAGTGCAAAATTCTGTTGGAACATAATGGAACAGGGTCTGGTCCAAAAGCCACTCTGACAGCCTGGAATTCCTGTTTCTGAACAGCAGCTTATCCACAGCACAGAGATTTTGTGATAGCCATACAAAATGACACCTGCTGTCCCTCCAAGTGGAAGAAGGACGTGTCTGGGATGCTCTTCTGCCTTGATGGGCAGAACTGCCCCTTTCTTGGCTGCTGCAATAACGTGAACCTCCACAGAAAGCTGCTTCACAGGGACAAGCAGAGAGACAAAGCTTGCTGTTTTCTCTCTGTCTGAGAAAGACGTTTCCCATTTTGCAGGGAATGTAGAGCTCTGCGGAGCAGAACACCCAGGAGGGGCTGCAGCTTCCTCTGGTTCTGCACCAGCCCTCCCAGGGAGCTCCTCCGCCTGTCTGGAATATGCCACGTTATCCCACAGGCAGGCACGGGGATAATTGGTGCTTCTGGGAGCTGCTGTTGTTCTTGGAGGGCAGCTCTGCACTGTGCTCCTCGCAGGGCTATGGCTCTGCAGCTCCAGTCCAACCCACCAGCCAGTGCCTCTCTCCCCACAGTCCCTAACCTCATGGCAATTGGGAAGAACGCTTTGCAGTATTGAGTACTGTCAAACCCAACCTGTGAGAACCAGCTGGCAATACTACCTGAGAAGTCGACAATTACACAGCACCACTGAGAGCAAAATATTTGAGCTGCATGTGCATCCCTGCCTGTAAACTACAATGTAAGGAGACAGATTCCTTGCTTGTACATTGGTAGTCCCTAGCAACACCATTTGATAAAGCCCTGCTCTGGTTTGAGAGGTCCAGGCTGAATTTGCTGTTCCATGTTCCTGACCCTAGAAGCCTGGCATTTGTTTACTGAAAAAAGGAAAAAAAAAAAAAAGGCAAAAAAAGCACAGTTAGATCTTTAAAGCTCTGCTGCTTGGTTGGCAAACAAATGCTGGGAAGTGCAGCTCTGCTGAGGTTGTGCAAAAAGAAAGCAATTGTTATTCATTAAGCAGATGACAGCAATGGGAGCAAAGGGGATAAAACTCGAAATCTGAAACCACCTGCTTTAATTTTAGCCATAATTGAAGCGGCTGCCCATGATGTTGCTGATGCACGTATCAGATTTGCACGCCATGCCCTGCTCTCACTGATTTCTGTGGCAGCAAGCTCCAGCCCGCTGCCTGCTCCGGTTCAGGAGGGGCTGAATCTCCTGTTTGATTGCAGGTTATAACAGGCACTTTAGAATCTGTTTGTTTCCTTCAGGAACAAAATGCAGTCGCAGTCTGGCTCTCTGATAGACAGATGCTTTAGTCATTAGTGAGGTTTCTGTGACTACAACACTGTGTCCTAGCATGGGTGCACTTAGCTCTTTTGTTCCTGGTTCGAAGCAGTGATGCTTTTCTCGCTCTTGTGCTCATGCGCTCGCTCTCTTTCTCTCCCTCCCTCTCTCTGTCTTTGATCTTGCTGATATGGGGAAAAATATCAGATCCAAATCTTCAGCATATTTAACCAAAACATCTTGTAGGATGGGAATAAATTGTGAGTGAGTGCAGCAGCAGGGGGGCTGCAGTGTGGTCGCTTGTGCTGCTTGCTTTCTGTTACTGCAAAGCAGCAGCAATCATCAAGGAGTGCTGGGGTTGTTCTGCAGCTAAATAAGCACTCAGGGGCTCAGCATTCACAGAGGACTAAGGCGGTTTTGCTGGGAAGGGGTGGAACTGTGCAAAGCTCTCCTCTGCTGGTCTCTAATGCAGGGATTCACATGAAACAGGTAAATAGGGAAGAGATCTTTCATAATGGCCGTCTCATCCTTCACTAAATTCCCTGAAGTTTTTGCCACAGAGTTAAATGGCCGTAAGGTAGCAATGTCACTTTGTGTTCAACCTCATTACAGTACTAGTGACATAAGCCTGAGAGCTGGGGAGCTCGCAGCGAAATCAGTGAAGGCAGGAAAAGTCTTGACCTCAGCTGCATGGTGAAATGTTAGAGTGGGAGCATTGACCGTCTATCCTTGAGCTGTTTAGTGCAGATTTATACTGCATGTGTTTGTATGTGTATGCCAACTTTCAAAAGCTAGGAAAAGCTTTTTTATGGTTTCCTGTGATGATACATAGTCAGAGGGGATACTTGGATGACTAGAGAAATACCCCACGAAATGGGGAGCAGGTGAGCTGCGTGACAGATGCGTGTGCTGTCCTTTGTTGATTTGGTGCTGCTCCTTAGCTAAGCGTATAAAGTGCTGGGAATACAACATAAGGCTTAACTCCACTTGGGACATTGCGCAGATGATCCTCACTGCTTTGGAGCATAGCACGTTGTGTGATGTAAGATTCCCATTCCCTTCTGATCAGCGTTCCCTACTAAGCATGTCTTCATTCCTCCACTTTACTGATCATTTACAGCTGTTTGCTTTATTTCATGAGAAATTCTTAAAGGGCTGAGACAGTAACTGGACTGTGCTGCTCTGTAATGCAGCCCAGAGCTCGCGCCGCGTTTCAAACGGCCAAATGAGATTCACACTCAAGTCCCAGCAGATATTGTTCATCTCAGTCACGGGAGTCCACATTTTTCTGGGGTCTAGCCTCTCTCTCTGGACATCTTCCTTGTCGTAATAAAGAAGAAGATGGCTATAGCATCCAGACAGTTGAAAGTGTGTTACCCCCATACTTGGTAAACTGCCAGCACAGCCTTTTTTGGTCTGACACATAGATACTTCCATCTTTAAGCAAACATAAAATGTGTTGCAGAGTGGGTCATACTATCTCCCTGAGTTGCTCTCAGTTTGTAAAGTGAGTTGTGGTGTTTTCCCCTGCAGTCTTTTTCTTACTGTTATATTCTAATACCTGTATTTAAATCATCAGCTAGTGAGCAAATAACCACATTATGGGCACTTACTTAAAAAAGAAATAGTTAATCTCAGAAAATAATGAGTCTAAAAAATATCTTTGGCATTCTTTCTTCTATGTATTCCTGGTGATGAAGAGGACACCGAACAGCCTGTCATGTCATTTGAGTTCCTTCTTGCACACAGTTGAGCTAAAAGTGAATGCAGGCTTCCATCTTCCACCAGTGTGTATCTCCCTTCTGAGTGCATGTAAATAATAGATTCTCCTCTTATGTGTCAATTCATTGGGTTTTTTAAGTAATAGAAGTTGTGTAATTGCTGTGCTCACAAGGTGTGTGACACCTCTGACAATCTCCTGCAGACTGTGCTGGGCAGTGAGTGCACAGTGACACACGGCCCAGCAAGCCAGGGTCCCACCATCCACACCCCTGGGTCATGCTGCAGAAAAGAGACAGGGAATGGTTTGGAAGTGCTCTTATATCCCCTGATTTTGGCGTAGCTTCAGAGAATGCTCCACTTAGACCTAAAAGATAGGCATCCGTTTCTTTTGCAGCAAGGAGCCCTGTGATGTTATGGCTCCACATGCGGCTGTGGTTTCTCTGTCCCCAACGGGTGTCCTTGCAGACAGACCAAAAGGACTTCAATTCTTACAAAAGCTCGTTCTCCTTTGAGAGCTACGTAGCCAGCAGATGCTTCCAGTGAAAGAGAACATCCTTTGAAAACAATCTGGTGTTTATTAATCAACAAGAATTCAGTGTTTGGGGTCCTTCAGCAG